AAGATGGTTTAGACTCGTGTTTTATGTTAAAATTAAGTTCATTTCTTCCGAGGTGCTCAACAACTGAACTATCCTCTAATAAAAGCAAGGTTTTCGAAAAGGGGTTCTTATGGAGTCGCCACCAATGTTTTGACCGTAAACATTGGAAAAGGATAAAAAGACGTTGATTTTATTAAAAACCAAACTGGGTCATTATAACCAGAGTTAGGTAAGGGAGTTAGTTACGTGTGGGGAAGGTGTTAGCACCCCACAACGTCCCTTTCGGGTTCCCTATGACAGATTAATTCATTTAAGTGAAGATTATGAGAAATTACGCGATTACCCTATTTTATTGCATAATGTTAAAAATGGCTATCTACATGAATTTATTTCTTATTGCATACAGAAAGCAATAAATAAAGCAGTAAAAGAGAAGAGAATTGAACAGAACCTCCGTAGCAAGCTTTGTATTACGAATCTTTAATCGTGAGGATGCGTTTTGGCAATCCTTCGCTCTACAAAGACTCTCCTCTCCAAATACAAGATCGACTCGACTCAATTTTACAGAAGAATCGAATGCTGGAATATGATTCCTTAACTGATTGTTACCTTATCAAGGCAATCAGAGAGTTCATTCGAAGAGGGAAGAGGATAGACAAGTACTGGGAGTTGTCTGGTGTGTGAAACAGTGGCAAATGAGCCTCCTATTTATAGTTTTTCGCTGCCTGCACATTTGAGACGCCCCTCTGGGTTGGGACGGCCGTCTGGGTTGGGACGGCCGTCCCAACTGCATCTTTTACAAAGGCTGAGACCCCCTGAAAGCTGGGACTGGCAGTCCCACTTGGGACGGCCGTCCCACTTGGCCAGGGAAGGTTGGGACGGCCGTCTCAACTCTGGGACGGTGGTCTCGACCTGTTTTGGCCAGTTTTTGTGTTCTGGGACCCCTGGGAAGCTTTCCTTTCTTTATTCGGACGTCGGTTGATGCCGATGAACGCCCGTTAAAGCTTTATCTTCATATAGGAAGTCTTCTTGGCCTTTATTGAGATGTCAGGCGAGCTTTGTCTTTGTTGTAGGAAGTCTCTTTAGCCTTTATTGAGAGACCGGGCAAAATTAGGGGTCTACACCACGCAGTCCGACCGAAGAGATAAAAGGCCCTAAAATAAAATGCTAAAAGCCCAAGTCAAATAAATGGGACCTTGTTCATAAACATCAAATTCATAAAACATCCATATAGATAGTTTATTTTTTTTTTCCAAAAAATAAATACACAAATACCATACATCATGTAGATATAAAACATGATAAATAGGAAAAATAAACACTCACATTCATACCTACAATATAAGACATGCATTTTGGTTTTTTAGAAAATGGAGGGGACTGGTAGACAATTGAAGAAAGTGGATATTCCCCGGTACCAAATTGAGAAGCTAGAACGGCTTTGAGCAATAATGCCACCAGAGGTCCGTTTTGACTTCGAAAATCCCTATGGATGGATCCTCGACCTATTAAAGATCTATGTCGATCCCATTTTTATCAGGATTCTAGTTCATTTCTGAAACTCTAGTCTGCGCTGCTTCGAATTTCCGTAGTTCGATATGGTGCCTACTTTAGAGGAGTATGAGATTATGCTAAAATGGCCAAAATCAGCCGGGGTCCATATTCACCACGAGGCATATACTCCTGCAGCACAAGTCGTTGCCATCATCTGATTGCCATTCCGGCAAACTACCCTGATAGAAAAAGGGAACATCCATGGTTGGAAAGTTTCAATGTTAGAAGACCATCTGTCCACTTTGGCTGAAAGGGCAGAATTGGTCACTTTTAACAAAACCCTAGCCTTGATCATATTTGGGACAATCTTGTTTCCCTTCCATATCGACACAGTGGATCAAGTCGTCATGGACGCCTTCTTCGCATGGGACGTGAACTCGAAGAGTCCCCTGCCTGCAATTCTTGCCGACACCTTGCTCTCATTGGAATTTTTCCGCCAAAAGCAAGGAAAACACTCCAATGTTGCTCTTCACTACTTTTTGTGTGGGGAATCACACATTTTTACGCCTCTAATCACATGGGGATGTTCCCCGACCCTTTGAGAAGCTTCTCCAAAATCCCTCTCCACCGACGTCTAACCTCAAAGTGGAAGGACGAGTTGGAACAATGGGACGCCAACCAATTATTTTGGGTTTGCCCTTGGTTCCGACCCGGCCTAGTCCTCATCAAATGTGGAGATTACTCGAGCATATCGTTGATAGGACTCAGTGGTTGCATAGTCTATTCACCGAGAGTAGCTATGAGACAACTCATGAGGACTCAAACTACAATATCCCGAGAGGAGCTCGGAGGACTGTGTTTCTTCGGAGACCCATGCACGATTTCTAACTCACTAGCTGTAAGAAGAGCATGGGAGAAACCAGTCTTTATGGGAGATAAAGAGCTAGGAAAAGCTCGAGTAGCTGTCTCCAGTGACTACGAGGAGTGGAGACGGAAAAGAGGGATGTCTCAACCATCCACCTCACTCGCTACATGTCCAAACAGTGAAGAGCTGCAAAATCAAGTCGACACCTTGACCCGTAGGATAGAAATCATGGGAGCCCAGATGAGGACTCTTGAAGAAAGAGAGCAAGAATTTATCCTCACTATAGATGGTCTACAGAGGCAATGCAAGAAAAAGGATCATGAAATAGAGCGCCTCAAGGATTAGTGTGCTGACTCTAATGAGCAAGCTATCTGAGCATCCAAAACTCCTAGAACTAGCTCGAATAGCCAACTTCAAAATATAACTTCCAAATCAGCACGCCTTGAGGCCGAATAAGCAAAACAGGCTCAGACGATCAAGGACTCGGTCAGAAATACGCCAAGAGCGAGAGGCCAACCGAAGACTCAACAGAAATCTCACTGAGCTACGCTGTAAAGAAAGAGATGGGTTAGCTCAGTACGGTCAGGTACTGCGAGAAAAGGACCGAGCCCTTGCAAAGCTCGACGAGCTACAAGCCTTGGTCGTCCATCAAGAGGCAAAGATTAAAGAGGCTCAAAAATACAGTGAAGATATGAGCTAGGCAGTCCAGAAGCAGAGCGAAGCACTCGCTCGTCACGTCCAAGAAGCCGAAAGGGAATTACATAGAGATCAAGACCCGCCTGTGGGTTTCTTTAGGCTTTTCCGTTTCTGTCAAAAGTTGCTTCGTAGTATGGAATAGGGGAATGTACACCTTCTACGGATAAATGAATTTTTCTTTATTCAAATGATTGTCTACTTGCATGCATATCATTTGCATATTTTATTTCCCCTCCTTCACTTTTAAAAAACAAGATAATAAAAAGGAAGGATTAACTGACACGTCTTCCAAATCAGAAGAATGGAGAGAAAGCCACTTTTAATCAAGCTTTCCCCAACGGTTGATCCGCCACGAGAGGATAATAAGCCTCAGTTGTTGGTCCTCAAAACCAATAAGGAAGAGGGGGCAAGGACACCCGTGAGACTATTTATGCCACATCCTTTCCCCTATGAATCCAATAAAGCTGTCCCATGGAGATACGAAGAATCTTCACCAATAAAGGAGGATATCTCCAATATAGTCGGCATTGGGGGCATGACCAGAAGTGGAAGGGTCTACTCCCCCAAGGACTTGCAAGAAGATGTCCCCAAGAATAAAGGAAAAAATAAACATACCGAAGAAAAAGAAAATAAGGAATCCAAGGAGGAGACTGAGGAATTACTCCAGTTTATAAGACAAAGCAAGTATTTCATTATTGACCAGCTCAATCATACACCTGCAAAGATAACTCTGTTATCTCT